ACACTGTTGCCACTTTCGTGACATTTGCAGTAGCTATTTTCCACAGTGTTTCTTTAATCCTCCACATAAAGCAGTTATTAGCTCGGTTCTGCTCTAGGAAACAGCTGTCAATGAGCGGATGAGACTGGAGAAAAAGATTTGCTCACCGCCCCATAGTGAGGTAATTTTTCTTTCTCGTAATGGTCAAAATGGGTCCTAATCTTTGTTGGAACATTTTAACCTTGTTTTAAGTTTTAAACAGTAATTAAATGCACTCTTCATCCTCGTCTGTGAAGCTGCAGCAAATCTCTCCCAGACAGACTTTAAAACAGAAGATTACAGATACTTGAAGGCTATACTTTGACTTTGGAAAGAGTTAGTTTGAGACAAAGAAGATTTAAGTAAAAAGTTTCAAACGCCACTTTGCTACTATGCAACTTTTACGCTAAGGGCATTACTGTATTTAAAATATACATGATTCTTTTTAAATTAGAAGGGGATTAAGACCGGGAAGAGCAAATGGTCCGAAGAGTGTAGTTGTACTGCAAAGACCACAGCTATGGCAAAGAAGATATAGTATGTTTTTTTTAGGAAATATTTATCACCTAACACATGTAGATGGTTGTTTTGAAGTTCAAGCATTATTGCAGAGAGCACAGAATGTATAAATGGGCATAGCTAACCTACTAGCCGCCACGTTCCAAACAAGAAATGTTCATGGAGACGCTTCTGGCTCCTTCGACTCTCCTTTTGACTCCAATTGACTTAATACTGGAAAATTGTCGCCCCTCCCTCTGTAACTGCTGCAGTGAGCCTTGTTATTTTGGTCTTAAAATGTTCATATTAACATGCTCTTCATGATCGTGGAGTTTTTATTTTGCTATTTTGTATAAATCCCTATTCCTAATATGAACCTAGCTCCAAGCTTTGCCCCTATAACTGCCAGCATTGTGAGCTTCATTTGGCTGGAGCCTAACGCTATGGATAGCATCACGCTGCCTTAGTCCGCTTCTTTATACATTCTATAGTGCAGAGTTGTGGGCGGAGATAGGAGGTATGTGAAAAGAGACATTTTCAGAGCACTCAAGCTCTGAATGTTGTAGAAGGCAAAATTACTCAAACTTCACGAAGCAATTGAAATACAACTTTTCTGGTTCAAGAATAAATAAATAATCCTTTTACAATGCAGGCCCAAAAGAGTATGTCCATTTTGAAAAGTAAATATTGATTTAATTAGTGAATGGACAATATATTCTACAAGAGAGACTACTGTTCAATAATGTACGTTAAAAAAACACCATTCAAGGCATCTGAGAATAAGAATATAAAAGCAGATGTATTATCAAAACCCATCTGTTGTTTTGATTCTGGGATTGTCTCCAGCTTTGGAATCTGCCACTAACACAAATCTATTCTTCTGACTGAGCTTGCAGAGTAAACACCGTAAATAAGACAGAGGGGGCACCGTAATGAAATGATCCCGCCTTTTATCGAGGAGTAAGCAGCCTCTGTGTTTGGGTGAGTAAATAGATTCTCCGTGGCATCAGCATTTCTTCTCCAGACATCGCCGGTCTAGGCAACAGCAGGCTTGGTTACAGTTACCATGGAGACTGATTTCCGTCCTCGGCATCAGAGAAAAGAGGACGACAGGGATGCATTGTGCTGAGTGACGGCAATGATATCTACAGTGGCATCAGAGGTGACGGAGCGCACTGCCAATTGGGGGTTTGGCTTGAAGGTAGAGAGTGAATGAGGCAGATAAAAGGACCAGTAGACAAGCTATGGACGGGAGGCATGGGTTATGAGAAAGGTTAACCTGAATTGTTGCAACTACGAGCCTAAGACAGGTTGCAATTTATATAATGGACAGTCACAAGGGGGCATACACGGATATTTGTTCATTATGAGCAATCTAAAGTTGCACTGTGTAACTTTTCATGGCAACAAGCAGGTGAAGCCATTGGCCAGGTTACAGGTCATATTTGGAGAGGTAGCTCCGCTCAAAGTAAGACTTTACTATTATTATCAACAAAAACACAAGATTAATGTCATAATATGGAACATATTACACAATGCAATAACATATCCATGGAGACTAGCAGAAAAGTTCCCACCAGAAAAGTTAGGAAACAGTGCAAGTCTGTTCCCTTACGACCTCTTGTATACAATTGTGATATACTGTATTTATATTACAATTACAATTTGTTTTTTTACTTACTACTTATGTACATACATTTATATAATTTGTGTCTTATCTGAAACCAGTCTCTTGGTATTTTTATTGCTACTTATTTAGAAGTTTATTGCCATTTTAATATTTTTTTTTACTCTTTGTTACTGTAATATAATGTGATGTGTGAGCTACTGTGTCCAAGTAACTTCCCTTGTGGATCACGCAAAAGTTTGTCTAAGTCTAAAGCTGCATGATGCATCTTCAAATTCACTAAGTGGCATAGAATCATGGAAGAGATAGCACAAGCAGTTACAATGCCTTATTGACAATTGAAGTATTTTAAACTTATCAAAGAAAGCTGCCTGGCATCTTAGTTTTGGTTTGTGAAAAGGGTCTTGCTCTTTCTTTACATTAGTAACAATATGTATTCATTAAAGGAACATTCTATGCATTTGTTGAAATATAGGTACTTTAAATGACAGCTCTGCAAAGGCAAAAATATATCTAAGCCTATTTTAAGTTTCTCAAGATATTACTTCAACCTCCTGTCCTGTTCTGTGACGTTTTATGCTGCAAAAAGCACAGAAACTATTTTGTCTTGAATTGCCAGTGCACCTCTCAGTAAAAAATCTCACTTGTAGGAGAGAAGAGAACTTGCCACAAACCATCTGATGCAGCGCAATGGAGTGTGAAATACATTCTGGTACATGGCGTCTGGGCTAGATTTGGTTGTTAGATTTTTAGTTTTGGATGTCACCCAGCGCACTGTACCATCTTTTTCTCTGGATCCAATGTGGTCTAGACAGCGCTTGGCTCTAGGTGAAGGCACAGGCACCGCGTCACACTACACTCTGTCTATGTGAGTGCAGCCAAAATGACAGATACAGCAGTGAAGGTGGAGGAAGAGCAGATACTTGAGGGGGAAAATACTCGCAAGATAATAACAAGGATTCATTGATAGAGAGAACTGTCCTCTGCAGGTGATGGCAGCATTTCAAAGAGGTGCGGTGCGTCTGACAGGTTTTTTGGAAGGTTTCCTCAGCTGAAAATGTCAAATGGATATTGAATATTTTAGCTTCTGTCGAAAACTGAAAATCATGACTTTTACTTTGTTCTTCGGCAAAAGTCAAAGTAACTTTATTAAAGCGATCAATCAAATGTGGCAGCAACATCAAGAGGACAATTTCCTTTGGCGGCGACTTGGAACTCTCTACCAGCTCAATTCTGTACCCCATTATCAGACTTTTAGGAAGGTTCAAGAAATTGATCTTTGTTGGGAAACTTCTTTGTATGTTAGAGTTACCCAAATTGAGGGTATTGGTAACAGTGTTGTCACGGTAATAAAAATTCAATGTAAATTCAAAAACTTTCTTTTTTTTAAGACAATAAAACGTGTTATAATTAGATGCAGACAGTTGAGACTTAAGTTCAACCACATATATATTTATAAAATATATCTGGAGCATAACAAATAGATGGAAAATCAACTTAAACAGACCAAGACCATGTGATTTATTTTGACATCTATATTAGCTCAATAATTATCTACTCTCAGTACTAGTTTTAGTATCAAAGCCTTGTATTTATTGATTTTTTTCCCACAGCTGTAATAGGTAGTCAATAAGTACATATTGGGATAAATTGGCAAAATCCAATCCAAATACATGTTGATAACTGAATAAAACTGTTCTACATAATTAAGGGTATGCAAAAATAATGTAAAGAATAATGCATTTAGTAAAAAGAAATGTTTACTGAAATACAGGAGCTTCAGTGCAACAAACACATCTAATAGTTTGCAATGAAGAGAAAGTGATATGACTCTCTGTTACCTTTGCAGCTTTGTACCACGCAGGTTCAAATAAGTTCAAGGTACCTTTTTATACATTCTCTTAGCGAATACCTGATTTATGATCCGATGTTCTTTTTATCTCACACACACCTATATATATATATATATATATATATATATATATATATATATATATATATATATATATATAATAAAATCAAATATCCTTGCAGGATCAACACTAGTGCTTCAACCCTTTCTGTTTGTGATGCTTTTGTTGATTGTTCCTGCCAGCTCCATGTGTTTAAAATGTGGTCAGAGGATCTAAGAGAAAAGAATGCTATGGAGAATTTTATATTGTCTTCACAGGCAAGAGTGATGGTGCAGACAGCCCAGTGCGGACAGCCTCTCAACATACCACACCATAGGCACGTGCACAAACAAAAGCATCTGTCCAACCATAAATCGTCTGTGTATGAGAGGAATCTAACCTTGGCCTGGTATCAAGAATGAATGCTATGAAATCCCCAATCATTTCTAATTTGGATATATCCCTTTGTGATTTTGCTATGGGACATCACAGAAGCACAATCTAGAGAGTATGAGTAACTAGAGTATGTGATAACTCTATAGAACTAAATATATCTTTAGCCAGTTGAAGGTGAACTATGGAACTTTTCTAAATAGTTTGCCTGGAATGTTCCTTGGTATGACATTTGACTTATCTCTTTGGAGACAACCAGGTGGCGCCATCTGGTAAGATCTATGAAGTGGTGACCCCATTTACCGCAAGGAAGCATGTTTTACAAGGTATTTACACCTACAATTAAGTTTAGTGCCTTAATGTTAAATAAAATTTCCATGGAGACAAGCAGAAATCAATTTAAAACAGAAGACAGATTGTGTGAAAAATGTATAAAAAATATGTATAATTTAAAATAAAATGTATTTAGTATCAGGGTATTTTTGTACAACCATTTTGAGATTTTTTAAACTGTCACATATCTCAGTGAGTTTAAGACCTTATAAGCAATTGTCTGTAGGAGTATGAAGTACCTGAGACAGCCCGAAGTGTTCTTGAAGACTGTGGTCCACTCTGCGTCGCGAGGCTTGGAGTCTTCGTTGGGCTCGTGCTCCCAGCCCGAGTGAGGGATGATCACCTCATTTGTCATGGTCTGGAGCCCGTGGTTTATGATCACCATCTTCAGAGGCTCATAGGACGAAAGGTTCCACAAGGTTCCTACGCACAAACACAGAGAGAAGATTGTAAAGCAACATGGTAAGAGAGCACACTTAGAGCCATACAGTAAAATTTTGGACAAGACAGGTTAAACATCTGGAAGAAAGGTCCCAGAAGCTTGTTTATGGGGACACAAATAAAAAAAGTCAAAGAATAATTGTGGTATTGTCTTAACGCCCTATCATCCTATTCAGTCCTAGCCATGGATTCAGTGTTACCAACTGAACTGAAGTAATGTACAGGAATGCATAAAGTATATATAATGGCATCACTTACTGAAATTTGAAGATTTTGTGAGGCAAAGTGATGGTGAGAGTGAAAAAAAAAAGTCAAAATTGGGACTAAACTGGGACTAAATTCTAAACTATTCCTGGACAAGACAAGGACTAAACCAGGACTTGAACAGACTGGACTCAAACCAGGACCCAATAAACACAAGTCTGAATGTACCGTTAGTGATCATTTCCAGGCTTGTTTAAAACATAATGTGCAAGTAAATATAAAGTTAATTGTTAAATCACATTTAGACTAACTGTGTGAAATGATTTACAAGTCTTTTGGATACATGGGGTATATTAATGACAATGCGTTCCTGTGACAGTGAGACAGAAAATCTCTATAACCAGGTAATACGAATATTTGTACATGAGTAATTTGTCTTGACTGTTACAGCTCCACACATCTCCAAATCAGCAACATTACGTCAATTTTCAGCAGAAAATGTGATTTGAGCTAACACTGCTGTCACAGGAGCACAGCAGGTGAGACAGGGGAGAACACTTTTGGCAGCTCATACAGGGAATAAATGATATGCAACAGATTGTACTGAATACATTTGCACTATTATAGCCACAGAACCAAGTAAAAAGCAATATGGATTTTGTGTCAGTCTAAAGCATGGATATGAAGAAATATTTTCATCTGGAAGGGCATCTAGGATAAAACTAGGGACAAAAGTTGGGACAAAAGTTTGGATCTACTTTCTTTTTTATAGTAAAGGTACAGCATGTCACATACTCTGAAACTCTGTTTGCATGTATTTTATCAAAAATATGTTCTGTTTCTGACTTCAATGTATTCTGCCTTGATTCTAGCTAAATGCAATTCTGTATATGGAGAATGACTATCTTATTTATTATATTAAGTGTTTCATTCACACATGAACACGCAAGCCCTGAATATTTAGACTTTTCTCTCAAACAGAAAACGGTTCTACCTTGTGATGTCATGTAGTAATACAGGAAGTGCCCCACTGTGCTTTTAAACTCCATACACCTTCATTAAAATCATTTGCATGATTTCAGACTTGGAATTTCTGATTTCTACTGAACTAAAGCGAAAAGGTTGTGGTTAACCTGAAAACTACCACTACGTGACATCACAAGATGGAACAGAGCATTCTGAGCTTTGGAAATGTGGACAGACTAATAATGAGGGATTACTTAAACATGTGCGATAAAAAAAATGGTAGAGATCATGGAAAGTTGAAGTGAGTGTCTTTTAGTTCCAGACATGATAAAACCTCGAACAGTTCAACCTTCACAAAAGTTCTTGACAAGTTTGGCCCAATGCCGAATGTTGCTATCCCAGTTTTGAGGTCTATTGCTGACTTCTCTGCCTGTTATTCCTTTATGCTTGTCCTTGCTCTCCTTCATCGCCATTTTACAGCGTGTGATTTGTCTGGGACACAAACTCTGGGCATATATAAACGTTCTGATCTGCTCATAACGCAGTGAGCCATTCCCCTTGTCCCACAATAACGGGCCATAAACACTGCACTCAAACTGTCACACTTCCTCAGCCTTTAAAATACTTCTGTACATTTTCCAGATACATTCACTATTTCCGCTGTTAAATCCAACTCACCGTGTATACAGGCAAAAGTCCAAATGTGGCGGGACTGTCCCGGACTAAAAATGCATGATGTAACTGGTTTGACGGGATTTATAGTAGAAAGTAACAAGACATGACTTTTTGTAGTAGTAGTAATAAGTAGTGTTGTCATGAAACTAAAATTATACTAAGGAAAAGACTTCATACTCAATACAGACTCTGATACCAAGATAATAATAAAAAAACATACACATTTATTTATTTAGACAATAGAATGTGATTTTCAACATTACGTCATAGTACTTTCTTTTACATTACCATGAGCCTTATATCAGTATCGTCCAGGTAGGTTCCATAGTGGTCCACTATGTAGTCTTATACTTGTTCAGATACACCACAAGATCATTTTAAAACATTTCAGAAAAAGGCTGATTTCTGTCCTGTGAATGTCATTTTTTAGTATAGATAACTCAAATAAGTATCACGTTTCGATATCAGTTTTACTACTGATTAATATCTGATATTTGATAACCCTGGTAGCAAGTACAAGTAGTAGAAGAACTAGTAGCAGTAGATGCAATATCATAATTTTCATATAGCAGTAGTAGTAATGATAGTAATTTAAATGTAAGTCTGCTCTTTACATTAGTATCAAGGTTTAGCAAAAGGATTACAATTCAGAGCCATCAATTTGTTAAGTATCTTTATGTCAATGTCACTGTTTCAATGTGACAATACTTACAAATGTGCAAGGATGTGTACACAACAATACGCCAAGTTCAATATATGAAAAAAAAATGTTTTCATTTCAGACCATGTTGATGATGTTAAAAGCTTGTCTTTGCCTATGGCGCATATTAATATGGTATTTACAGAGGCGCATCCAGGCAGTAGAATGGATATTGACTTAACAAGCAAACCATAGGCAATCTGTGTAAACATCAATCTTCTTCCTGAAAAATGTGTCAGACATTTATTATCACTGTGAGATACAATAACGCCTTGCCCTTTCTCTGTTTTCTTATTTATATTTGGATTGCACTAGTGACACACAACCGTAGGCATAATAACACATGACAGGCTGTTAGTGGTCCATGTTATATACAGTCCTACATAAAATAAATTATCTAAGAACAAAGCAGTTTAGAGGCTTAACCAATTTTTTCTTTTAAAGGTTGTATAATATGCAAAATAGACTCTTGTGAGCTTTAAGTCATATTATAATGTTGTTAACTCACCCAAAGCATACCTGGAGTTGTGTTTTGTTTCATTCACACATGTTTGAGTAATCCTACATTATAAGTCTCTCTACATCTCCAAAGCTCAAAATGCTCTTTTCCACCTTGTGATGTCATGAAGTAGTTTTCAAATTAACAGCTCCTTTTACCTTTCATTCAGTAGAGACAATTCCAAGACTGATGTTTGATTCTAAATTATTCTAGTGAAGGTACAGGGGTACCCCTCCGGTAATGAAATAAAAATCAACAATGCTTGGTCTCAGTCATAGGTTATGGGTCTTCCAACAGGATAATGACCCAAAACAGACAGCTAAAAACATCCAAAAATGGCTAAGAACAAAACATTGGACTGTTCTGGAGTGGTCTTCTGTGAGCCTAGATCTCAATCCTACTGACCTATACCTGTTGACCAGTGCAGAAGTCGCATTGACACTTACAGAAATCGTTTGATTGCAGAGTTTGCCTCAAAAGGTTGTGTAACAAAATATTAAGTTAAGGGTGCCATCATTTTTGTCCAGGCCAGTTTCATTATTTAGTTTTTTCTAATATTTCTGTTGAACCATAGGTGAAAAGCAATGTTTGATTTTTGCTGGACAATTTTCAGTAAATTTTTATTTATTATTGCTTTTCTCAGTTACAGGTTATTGGGGTGATTATAGTTGATTTTTCTTTCATTGCCAGAGGGGTACCAACAATTTTGTCTACAACTGTATATGTACAATAGAGCACTTCTTGTATCATATGACATCACAAGAGTGTTTTTTGTTTGAGAGAAAATCTGAGCCTAAACATACAGGATTTGTTTGAATGAAACAAAGCAACTCCAAATGTGTTTTTCGATGAGGGCACAACATAATAACAACTACCAGAAAACAGATTAATATGGATTCCTTTAAACAAAAAAATGCATCCCACAGACTATGATAAGGAACCGTAATGCTTGATCGGCGAATGTTTTTAATGAATACATTTTTTCACTCCAGGTTCACCGCAAGTGTATCCGGAAGAGGAAGTCTGAGTTCTCAGGCTTGAATCACATTAACAGCAAGTGGGCTACTGTTTGCGCTAACGGTGATATGAAGACAGTTATACCTGGCCCACGGCAGACAGCAGGATCTCCTCCACTGCTGTGGTATTAGCATATGTTTTACCTCTGACAAGAAACAACCAGCGGGCAATACATCCAGTTAGCAACAAAGCAGAGGATATCAGGCAGATACAGAAGCTGCTTCATGAATATTGTGTTGTTATGATGAGGAAAATATATGGTCATGTATAACCAGTAACCACTACTTCAGTTTATATGAAGTAGGCCAGCTGTTTGGGGCATGTCATTTACTCTACAATTTTAAAGAGCTCATACTAAAGGGTTCTATTTTCAGATCTATGTTATATTGTTGTTTCTTCATCACAAACATACCTGGAGTTGTGTTTTGTTTCATTCACACATGTTTAACACACAAAACCTGCATATTTAGGCTGAGATCTTCTCAAATTCTCTCTTACGATGTCAGGTCGCAATACAGGAAGTGCTCCACCGTGTTTTAAAACTCCACATGCCTTCACTAGAATCATTTGGATAATCTGATGAGGTAACAACATTCTAACATGACTTAAAGGTAAATTGTATAACTTTTGTGGAGCATCCATCAGATACTTTTTTCATTGAAATGTTATTACTTTGGCTGGAATGTTTCACAGTGTGGCATTAAACCTTTCTATCTTCATGAAGACCAAACCAGACCAATTTACAGGTCAGATCTGTGGACAGGCAACTGTGCTCAGTCAGAATGCCAGTTTTTCTAGGTGTTTTTGAGCTATAAAACCACCTGTAATTGAATATGTGTAATAAATGTCATACTGTGGAACATTCCAGGCAGAGCAATGTCATATCTGTAGAAACAAGCAGGGGACGGACCCTCTGCCAGA